TTTCATTTCCGCTGCTTTTCATATCAAAAAGTCTATATTTAATATTATACAGCTCGTGAGTCGTGCCTTATTGCATGTAACCACCGCGCCTTTTCAAAGAAGCTCGTGATATTTTGTAAGAAAATAAAGTGCCATTAATTGTGGGAGGGAAAATAATGATCGTGAGAAGTTAATCATTTTGGGGGAGACTTGTAATCGCATGATGATTCTAAACGAGCCAGGAGGTCCATGCATGCAGTATTCAATATATCTCAAAAGCCAGTGAAGATTGAATGTGTTCATTTTCAGCATTTCTCAATAATGGTAGTCATGGAAGAACAACAAACGTGGGGACTCTGTGTCCAAATAGATCCTTAGTAGCGAGGAAGTCTTGGCGTAGTCGTGACTTCTTTAGGCTTGTCTCTTCCGGGGGATTTGGGTTAGGGTATATGCGGCATGGCTCTGTTTTTCCCACCACGAGTATGATAGTTGACAGTGTGAATTAACCATCTATAAAATTACTTCAGTTGATTCAATATCTGGCGATAATACTAATGCATTTTTACAACTACGATCCAGTGAAGAAGCAAAGGTCTTTTCCTACGAGGAAGTCGGCTTGACAACTCAATATGTTTCTATTTTGATAACCATCATCTTACGATGCATGTTTAAGGCAGAAAAAGGAACTTTTACCGTCGCTCACACTACCGGAGTTTTTTGGGGATAATTTGTCGTAATTCATTTGAGACAAAGGTCATTTTGAGTAAAGAATATGTATTCAGACGTACACTCCAGCTCTAAAAATAACCCTTATACAAATAGTCCCACCTGCTGCGCATTTATGTGGAACATTGTCTAGACCAACCCATGCAATATATCGACCATTTATCAATTCACAGTACAAAAAACAGGGGAAAAATCCCATCCCAATGAGCAAATGCGACAGAAAATCCTCTTAGAGTGAAAGATTCGTTGAAAATCTTACGATTCATCCTTCACACACACCCACTAATTTTAATGAAATGTCTTGCTTTTTAATTAAAGCAACGTCGCTTGCGTTTAAAATTCATTTCAAAACATGCCCTTTTCGATTTTGTCTTGGCTAGCTTTTCATTTAGTTTCTCTTTCCGTTTTTTTCGTCCTCTTTTTTATTGAAATTTTTCTCGTGTATCGTTTAGTTTAATCCAAGTAATTATAGTCCATCACTGGCTGCGCGATGACACATCTACGCCGGGACTTCAAGACACTGACACATTTGGTTTACATTACAATGGGATTATTTGCTTAATGTTACAGTGTGGTAATAACATTGCCTTGTCACACAGACAAGTTCAGAAATTGAAAATATCTCAAGCCATTCGGATGCGCCCAATACCTTGTTTAGGCTATTGCCGAATCGTTGTCATAATTCATACAAGATTATTATTGTGTGGTATGGAAATCAGTCTTGTATGGCACTTTTGTGAAACCTTTGACAGCTTTACGAGAAGGCGAATTAATACCTTGTAAAGGTGTTTGTATGTTCCCATATGTCAGAATCCGAAGTGCGAGACTAATCGCATCTTTTAAATAGGTTTAAACGCAACTCTGTTCGGATTTCGTGACTATGGGCCCAAATGAATTTTAATGAAGTCTGGATGTTTTGTTATTTAATACGTAGGATTGACCGCCATGTGTGTGTAGACATAATTGTTGATTTAGTTGCCAGACGTATAGTTATTCAAATGATGTCTTCCTATGGGGGTAACATTATTTCAAACGCGCAAGACATTGCCATTCAAAAACACATCAAAATGAAAATGGCCTATACCACGCTGAGCGGGCGCTCGAAAGTGACAACGTCCACTTGATCTCGCTTCACGGACTCACTTTTATTATTTGTCTGGGTTTTTTTTTGTGGGTACTAAGAAAAAACGCGCTAAACGGCTGCGCCTTCGCTCTACGTACGCGTCTATAGGCCAGCGCTAAGTGGGGTTAGCTGTCGCCCTTAGATATAGAGTTAGTCCTGACTTTAACCAAAAGCATGTGCCCTGCAAGTGGAAACCAAACGCCTCAGTGATGTCACTCAATTATGTCCCTTTATAAAATACCATGGGGTATACACTGATACAGTTTTCCTATAGCAGAGAACCCAGTGTTCCTTGCTACAATCGAAGACGTTGCTGTATTCAACTGCATAAATTAGGATCGGACTATAGCGGCTATTATACCTCGTCGCTTATTATTATATTGTCGACTCGGAAGTTTGAAGCGTGTGTGCAGGGACACCCCCAGGGATTGATACCTGACATCTTTTAAATTGCAACAACAATAGTCCTCCCTTTTTCTGACAGGCTACAGAGACGACGCAGCAGGCCGAAGCTGCGATGTTAGATATATTACCTGTGATATAACGAGAGGGAACCCGCAGGCTGACATAAGCCACGTGAAACAATCTCAAGCTCAGTTTATCATCGGGCACGAAATCCATGCCCGGCTGAAAAACGTACAGCATGGATTTCAGGTAATTCAATGTCCGATGAGGTTGAAAGCTGCTCTCGTAATTAGCCACGGAATCTGATAGCCATACCTTAGATGGCGATTTTATTACTTTTTTTCCGCTTCGTGTAAAAATGCAAAAGATGCCTTCGTGGGTATGTGGCTTGAAGGTGATAGACAATACAAATTAGAAGCAAAATTTGTAGCGTAATTAAGTTCGACGTAGCCCAGTTCAGGAGCATCGTCGTCATACGTGGAAGAAAACATGCACGCAATGCTTCAAAGTGCTTTGTTTAAATAGGTTCGCCATGGTTCGTTGGGTTGCCTGACAAATATTGCGCGTACAGTATCACTTTCCAGCGTCAACGAGAAATACGTTATTCTTAAAAGCAAGCACAGACTGAAATGTTTTGCGAAATAATGAAAAACGTACGAGAGACTGCCAGATGTTGCGATTTTTGTTCCCAATAGCCGTGGTTATTGCGGTGTCTGGGTTTTAAAACAAAATAACTCAGGTCAGCACAACAAAGCTAACGTTCTTCGGCCATTTCGTGCGAGGGGAGCTAGGCTGTGCAATTTCCGTCCAAAGCAAAATACACTTCAGCGAACGCTTCTTATTACTGTTATCATCATCGGACATTGATGATACCTGCATATACAAGCCCAGCCAACAACGCGCATACAAATGTCGCCACAGACGGATTGAGCCCTTTGTGGATAATAGATAAACCCATTGGAAATTTTGCGTCATGATAACCTCCGAGCCTTAAATTCCTGTTGTGCATATCGTTATGCAATGTTAGCACATACATTATACGCAATTTAAAGACTTCAAGCTAATATGCAGAGCATGTTTGTAATTTCCAATCATGTTATGACTAGAAATTCAAATTAAATTTTACCAAATTTTCCCCTGCAATGACCCGATCGCCGTTGAAGTATGTCGCGTTTTTTCCTGCGTTTGACGGCGTGCCGGCAGAAAATATATTGCGTTGAAAGTTTATAAAAAGAATGTGAATGGGTTCCTTGACAACAAGGGCGACTTCTAATCGTGTTTTGACTAGAAATTCACTTAAATCATCGTGTGGCATTGTCGCAGATAGCACGCCTCGATTTCGCGTGAATAATCTTTTCGAGTACGTTCGTGAGAATACAGAGCCGTTGCACAAATATAGATTATCGACCGTTCCACTGTCTGAAATTACCACAAAAATTCGTTGTGAGTGTGTGTGTGCGGATTAATTCCACCCCGCGTCTGGTGGCACTTTCTTCAGTGACAGGTTTAATCATTGAAGGTTCTACTTCAGGTTTGTTGCGTTACATGCAGTCAGTATACTGCACCGGTCGGTACACGAGGAAAAATATGCATCCGCGCAAATTGAACGTCGGCTTACAATCCTTTGTTATATTAAGTATAGGATTAAACAACTCTAAATATGGAAGATAGGTTTGTAAAAAACTCCACGCCATTGCCTCATTTCGTCCGGCTAAAAGCCGATAATCTCATAATTGAATATTGGAGTTTTTCAAACTGTCCTTAGAAGGTGGCTATGATATTTGTAAAAAACTCATAACCACCTGACCTTTGTGATTTATTCCCTGTTATACACCCACCATATTGTGTTTAACCCCACTCTCTCTCCTTTCCCTCGCCCCAAACCCACCGAGTTGCGTTCGCGCACTCGCGCGCTGTGACCAAATGCTGTTCATCTGCCGTTCCAATATTTTTCAAAGAGGGGTCACGAATTTTGACTTTTCAATGGAGATTAACGCTGCAATATTTCAAGAAATGGTCAAACTAGAGTTTGTGTCAGATTGAAAAAGACCAAATGCGTTGCTTTTCATTTAGCGACTTCCGCGGATTGCCGCGCTGCGGTGAATTGTACAATGTTTATTCGATTGCATGTACATCACTTTCTGACATTCTTCCATTTTCGACCGGGGCATACCACAGTCCTTAGTATAACATGTGTTCCATTTCAAAATACGGTCATACCGGAATCCTTCATTCGCGCGAAAGGCAGAAATTCTGCGATATTCGACTATGACGTAAAACGAATGAGCCAGACAATTGCGGAAACTTAGGCTTTTAACGACTTTGAGATGTAAGAGGTTCTTGTCTCGTTCTGTCAACCACCCCCATTGTAAATATCGGCTCGTTGGTTGTGATATGACCGTGCATGGCTAGAAGATCCCATTGCGATTTCGGCGCGTTTCGTTTGAGGAAAGTTATAATCAAAGGGCTTTGAAGATGAAATGCCTGATACAAGTTTTCGGCGCATGCCATTGTATATTTGTCCTGCTCTTCATAAGATAAAAAAATATGGCCCCGTGGCTATTAATCTAATCCTCAGTACTCGAGAATAAATTTTGGTATGCAAGCAATGTATTTGACGGTATATAGTTTGGGGATTTATGTCTGCGCGAGGATAATACTGTATCGAGGTCACCAGCGTCTTCAAACAAGTTCGTAGCAAAGTTTTGCTAAGACGAGATGAAAACTTTAGATATTTCGGAGCAAAGCCTTTTATATATATAATAATTTATTCCAGCATTGTTTGCAACTGATCTTTCAAACGCGTGGTTATCTTCTATACGTAGTTTTACTGACAGAAAATACTATTTGTATGCATGCAATGCAGACTGCGCCATTTTCTTACAATATATCAAGAGAATAAGATCAGCTCAGCATTGATTTGCATTCAAAGCAGGTTCTAATATCAACATTTTCTTCATTCACAGACGTTTTCGAAAGTGCCGAGTGAATGAGCTGTATTCAGGATGCCCACCGCTGTCATATAGCATATCTATTCATGAAAACAGAATCGCCCTATTCACAATTTTAATAATTTGGCAAGAGAAACGCGTTGACAGGTATGGACCAGGTTTACAATATGCTAAAAAGGCTCCTTCTGTGTAGGTCAGAACCTTTACAAAGCGAAGTTTGAGAACCTTAAAAATCCGAAAATTTCGACCATTTTTGGTTAAATTGTTCCCCAGCTGACGACGAAGGGTCATATTGTCTATAGTACAGATTAAAAGAGGTCTCGAGTTTATTTGTATAGAGATTTTATTTCGTTCATTTGAAAGCGCTCATTGTCTTGGTTTTATAAACCGTAAATTTCTTTATTGCAACACATATAGTGCCCTTGACTTAGAAAAGTCTCTGATATATAATATTATCCCATTATAACGCGTTCTCCGTTACGGCGCTCATGTACAAAAAGCCTTAGTGGAAAGTCCTGATTATTTCACACACAATAGGTCGACATACGGTAACTGTATACACACAAATCGTGTTCTAATCACATATGATTGTGGTTTATGCGACTATATATATATATATTGAAGTAATCAGGTCCTTATGCATGTTGGAAGGTAAATACTCCGTGCCTCTTCTAGGCTTCCTTCATGTGTACATATGCTTCTAGTCGGCGATTCTTGGCTTGAACACACATGCACACAGACATAAATTTTAGACAGCTTTTTGCGTGAAATTGTCGACCGATATCGAAAAGTTAATCAAATCCTTATGTCTGGCCTCTTGCCTTGAGACGTATCAGAGAGGTTCCTTGATTCTCATAAATAGGGTTGGGAGTAACCTCCTGGGATAACGTTAGATATTTGGAACATCACATATAGCAATGTCTGGCTTGAGTAATTTCCCATCTCAATTTACCCCGTTTGTGGCATGTCACTATGATTGATATCATGACTTTGGAAGCGTGAAGAACATTTCGACCCAGCACGGACAGTTCATTATCGTCTGTCGTTTGTATCCTCTGCCAAATCCCTTGACAAAACTGACTCTTAGACAGTGCTGTTCCTCGTGCGTGTTATCCGCAGATTGTCTGCTGGAAGCGTTAGCGTTGCAGTCAAATACCTTTAGCCCGTAACCGCTTGATAGTTTCTCGACCCGTGGTGTGTCTGTGTTATGAAGTCTCTGTAATAATTGCCCGTTTAAAAACACGGGTGATTGAGATTTATTGTAGATCCATATGTCTCCGTTTTCGAGGTTCACTTGGATGCCTTCGCCAATGTTCCGAAGTACAATCTTAGTATTGTCATTTATTTCACAAGTTCTGTTTAGATCTTTCAAGCATAATCCGTGTCTGTGACCTTTCGTTTTGCTCTCGTAAATATTTATAGTATTTTCATAGCCATGGTACATGCTACCGACACGCTTGTCGCGTTCCCAGTAAGCGAGCGTAATCCATGGTCTGAAACGAGATTCCTCTTGTTTTGTCGAGGCAACACCTGAAAAGAATACGACCATTTTAGTTTAAAACATACACGCAACCGTAGCCAAAATATAACTAAGCGATCTTTGCGTTCCTTCCCTGGACGAGATTAAGTTTCGAGAGAGTATGCCTTGAGTGTTTTGGCGAAGAAAGCCAGTCTTACAAGGACTCAGACATCTCATTAGTCAACAGGATTTAGGAGGAAACGGTTTAGGAAAAACAGACGCCAAACTAGCCAAAATAATCGTTTAATGCTTTCTATGGAAGTTGACGGAAGACTGGAGTAAAAGTTGTTTTGCCTGATTCAAATATTTGCACATGCATTGGCACTCGAAGCGCCGACGACACATATATTATGAATAATCTATGTACTTTCCAAGGACGTTCGCTGTACTCTTAACCACAATTCTACATTCTGGAGATTAATACAGACACAAACGGCTGAAAGGAAGACAAATTCCGGGGCAAATATTTCATGCACTTTCAATGTATATGTGTGTCTGTCGAATTTTTAATAACCTTTTCAAATCGTTACGTCTTAATTTCATTGTATGCCTGAGCTGTTCATAGACTCTGGCGAAATCTGTCCTATTCAGTTTCATTGGATTCAAAGCGTGCTGAATATTAAAACTCAATGTTATAAAGATCAGTTTATATATATCCCAATTTACTTGGGAAATATTCACCAAATATTTGCCAAATTGAGATTTTATAAATTATTGTTCTTCGTAAATCACCGAAGTATTTCGTCATTATCATTTTCACTCAGACGTGTATACAAAATTATGGGGACGCGAGAGTTGGAACGAAAAATGATATGCATTTAGCTTTGTCTTTCGTCCACGCGTAAAGGATAAGCGAATGTTTTTGTGTCGTTAGTTCGCCTAATGGCGTCCTTCGGCTGTCATGTCTAGCTCAATTCGTATACAACAGAGAATAGCGACAGGGACGCATGGTCAAAAACAAAAATAACGCAGTTGCCGTGGCGGACAGTGGCATAACATAAGTTCGCACGAATTCTGCGCGCGCTCCGTGTCACACTATACATAAAAATATTAGACAAGGTTAGAGCCATACACTTCAGACAAATCCGGTCGGATTTTGGCCGTGCAGTGTGAAGAATGTACTTCGGAAACCCTTTTTGTAATCGCTAGCTGGTGTGTTTGCGAGATCAAACAAAGCGATGAAATCTGACTGAGTTATGTTACCTTCGCAAGCTCCAGTTCTGTTGCCACAACTTGTCGTGTCAACGCTTCCACAGTATAGCCCTAAAATATGACGCAATAAGAGGAGCTTAGCCCTAAGTCCATTGGACATGGTTTGAATCCGACAGCCTGGCAGATTTCAATAGCTGGCCACTCTATCAATTGTATATTCGCAAACTCTCTCTCTCGCCGATACGCGACGTTTATCATTTCCGCTCAGAATGTAACGCAGAAGCTGCTAGAGTTTATTTTGGGTACGGTTTTTACCTGAATCATCGTGGCACAGTATTTCGCTTTTCGGCTTCGCACGAAGCCCTTGATACGGTATTTCTGCAAAGAAAAGGGAAAAATCAACATTTCAGGTCGCATTGTTTTCGCGGTGTGCGTGCCCGATTCAAAGCTCTCGCGCTGGTATAAATAAGTGACATATATTAAATATATATATATACACTTACCTCGCTTACTTATCCTTGATAAGTGGAACGGGTTGACACACAGGCAATCCCCCATGCCCGTTTCCCCCTCCTCACTGCTGCTACCTTCTTCTATATGCTTCAACTTGCTGCCGTCTTTCAAATCGGGCCAACGCCAAACTCTGGATATAAAGTATCGTTGATTTTGTAGCGAAGACTCGGCAGTATCCTCGCCGCCTATCTTGAGGCACGCGTCTGAGGATTTCTCGTCGAGTATCTTCGCCAGTAGACGCAAAGACGCTGTGTCCAAACTCCCGAGGAAACTATGAACAGCCTCTTTCAGGTAGCCAAACGCTTTTGCGGATACTTGATCTCCTATACAAATCTCTCTGGCGCTCCAAATCTTCTGAACTAAATACCGTCTGTGTAGGCTAAACATTAACGGAAATAACGATCTCACAGTGGTTAGGAACCAAAGTGGGATAGTGGTGGGTTGAATAAATCGCTAGATAGCCACGTTTTCCTTGTGTACAAGCTAGCAGCGTTCGACAGCTCAATTGTCTAGACTGTAGTATGAAATTAAATGAGAAACCTGTTCTCCTCTTATGAAGTTGGCTACTTGGAATATTTTAAGATAGTGCCTCTGATTGGTCTTTCATAATCACGTGGTTGTCTAGACGCGACAGCAGGGTGCTTGATTTATTTGAATAGTATCTAGACACAAACAATTCTTCAATATTGCACACGATTGGTTGGAAAATTTTTGTATGTTTAAGATAACAACCGCCATTCATCTGTGATGAGTTGGGAAAATATGAAAATGAAAACTTGTCTCGATCAGCAAAGAAGAGAAATTCGCTTTGAGCTTCCTTGCGGAACGAACATGGCAGACGTTTCCCTCCTTTACGAACTGTGTTTATTCCCGATTTTAAAAAAGGGATTAAGGAGCGCTTTAGAAGATTTAAGTATTGCATTTGGAAGCGCAACTCTGTCGCGACAGTGAGATTAAATTTAGGCCAAAATAGATTTGCTTGCGTGACGTTTTGACAAGACTTAAATAATATATATTAAGTAGCGTCTGCCAGTTTTGACTGGAAACAATGGGTCTAGAAATTTTCATCGCGTTCCATGGTCTGATTAAAAATGTTGCTTTAAGGTAGATTGGGGGAAATAGGACGATAAAGAATATAGATTTATCGCGTATACCCTCTGTCCGATACGACCCGCATGCATATATATATTTATATATAAATTTATTTATATATATATATATATACGAGTATCAAGAAAAAAAGTTGTCTTGAATATTTGACAAGTCAAAGTCATTTCCTACATCTCAGCCAAAGCCGCTGAACATTTCTTTGAAATTAATAACATTTTTTGGAGTTTTGCGCTTAAATGTATTCAGGTGGGTTGCGTATAGCGTTATCATGGCTGCTGCGTCTAGCGCTTGCGTATCAACGTATTGCAACCCAAAAGCTCACTTTATAACCTAATATAGTTTGAATTTGAACGACTGTATTTTATTTTACGCGGGGCTTATGCGCGTCACTCGATGGAGTAAAAAAACACACTGCAGACACATTTTAAGACTAAAAGTTTGAATCTTAATGGGTGATTATCCGACTTAGTTTTAAAATTGATAGCTTATTTAGTGTCTTAGACGATACAATAGAGTATAGTCTTACTGACAGCTCTGTTTCATTCTACAATAGCTTCATATAATGGCGTATCAGTATTCAGAGAAATGTTGTTTTAAATAATATATCATATGGCTCAATTATACCGTAAAACTCATGAAGGTTCTTAAAATATTGATTGGGGGAGGGGGGGTATGCCAATGGGGTGTTCTAATAAAATCCTTTTTGTCAATATCTAACCCTTGCCAGGGATTGTGATATTGATTCTAGTTTCCCATCAGCCGGAGTATATATATATGATAAGAATGATTGTCTTGAGAGAATTTTCAATATTATATTTGTACACTTAACCTTCTGTAACCGCGTGTGAAATAAAATATACTTTAGTGAGACTGGATGTACATAGAATAGAATATAAAAATTTCTTCCACAGTTCATATTATGAATTCAGCTGGTATACCGTACATGAAACCTGTGTCGAATTTTTTTTAAAGTTCACTGTAGATATTTGTTTTCTGGAAGGGAATAGTGCTTATCAGATAATCAATATATCTACAGCCTTTTTTGTCAGTCACAATGGTAGCGAATGTTTCCTGTGTAAAATGTTTCATTCTTTCTCTCCATCGTCACTCCGCTATTTTTGGTGCCGAATTGGAATGCTGTATTGTCGTGAATATCTGCTTGCTGTGAAATGCGTGTGCCGACTTGCAGCGGCGGTAATGCTCATGTGATTCGATTTTGGTCTGGCCCGTTGAAACAACCCGTCTGGAATTGCTAATTGAACACTTGGCTTACTTCCTTGTTCCTCAATGTCTGGTTTTTACACCTTTGTCGGCCAAATCCGAACAAGGCGTATGTTCCCGTTGTGATATCTTTCACGTTTTTTCAATATCACATTCGCAATTGCGTCTAGGTTCAAAGATGATTTCTTATGGTAATCATGCGCACTTGAAAATTGGCGTTCATCGACATCCTTAGATGTTTCGTAGTCTGGCGTTCCATGTGGTCATTACTTCGTGTGGCGTATATTCCTGTCAGTATAGTAATCCTCTTGTCGATTTCGATATTGTGCACGTCTACCATCGTTTATATATGGCAAAGTGCTGTTATACTGGAAGCCATGTTTAAGAGAATTTCACTTTCGAATCTGCCCATGGGGTAGCTAACTCAATTTCATGAGATATGACATGTTTCTTGGTGACTATATACGCACACTTATACAGATGGTTTTGTATATATATATATATATATATATGTGTGTGTGTGGGTCACAGCAATTAAAACAACAAACACGAGATTGTTACGCGGATGTTTTAAATTAAAAACTTTGCTATTTTAGAAGGAATTGTGTGGAATTTTAAAGAATTAGTTGCAGCTTCTCGGGCGTTTTTGGTTGATCTTTTCGAGGCTGCGCCATGCAGGAGTTCGATATCTCTGAGAGATTTCGGGTCATCTCAATCGTCAGTGTACGAGATTTTTCGGAATGATATGCCCACAGAGTTCACTTTCGGATAAAATCGAAGCTCTTGTTTTTTCTTGCCTTATAGTTTAAAGATAAAATCTTCCAATTTAGTCGCATATTACTGCATCTCTTCCTGTATATCATTTCATTTCAGCAATATCGCAAACAGTTGCGGGCCAGACTTTTTATATTGAAATCCCAGAGGCTCTAAAGCTTACGCTGACCTTCTCACTGTATCGTAAAGCAACGACGTTTATCTGATCAATTCAGACGAAAAATCTCGAGTAAAAGTCGCACGTGATGCGAATCTCATTCCATCGCAGTTTCTCAGAATAGCCTTCGATAAAATAGCTGATGTTTTCGAGTTCCCTTGGCAACCATTATGATAGTTACCTACATTCTTTCAGTGGTCTCTTGTGAGTCAATTCTGTCATGGTTACCGCCGGTCGGTATAGCATATTATATTTATTGTACTTGAGGATTGACCTCCATATGATAACAAATGAACACATTTTTTGGGTGTAGTTGATGCCCGACGAAAGATTGTCTCTATTGCTACACTCTTGTGAAAATTGACGACGTTCTGGGCTGATAATACAACCGATTGATTGGGCGTGTACCAGGTGCTTTCAGGGTGATGCGTTTTGGCATATAATTTACCTATGGTGATAACTGGTATCACTTTCTTCTTAATTTTCAAATTAAACTGGCGACTGAAGAATGTGTCTGTCTTACCACACTTTTAATTAGCTTTGTTTTTACGCATAAAACCCGCGAGGAAAGACAAGGAGATCTGGACTGTTTGATTTCGGTTTGGAGAATGGAACATCTAAATAAGCAGTCATCAATTTGAATTAGCGTGGGTGAGATTGAGAAGTGAACTTGAAACTTCTGATATGCACGCTTTCGTTGTTTACTGAAATTTCAGTGTAACTCGTTGAGAAATCTGTCAATTGATAATAGATATATGTGCCATCTGTTGTTTGGCTTCGGGTTTTTGGAATGCAAGTTAATACGAAATTGGAAACCGTATAATTAAAGCGTTCAATACCTTCAATGCATGGTTTCATGTTTAACAGTTATGACTTTAACATGATTCTAATAGGGATTTTACGAGCTTATAAATAACCCGAGGTTAAAGAAAGATGAACTTACATAATAGGATTTAATAAAAAAACATGTCCTGAAACTAAATTTGTCTCTTTGGTCAGGTGTTACAAAAAAACAATTAAAAATGTTTTTGCGAAACACAAAAACTCGTAATGAGTCGGGGCTGTTTACATGAATCGTCCCACGGTTATATACACCAGAGATTAAAAGGATGAACTATATATTATCTCGCGTCTTTACGTTTGATCTTGAGTATAAAGCAGAATCATCTCCTAAACAGGCAGAGTTTACCCTACATGAGTGGAGCTTTTGAAATCCTATGTTAGTATTTTAGTCAGACTGTTGTTAATGCATTGTGTGATTTTGATTTGGTATAATTTTCGCTCAAAGCAAAGCACACAAATAACATGCGCACGCCGCCACTTAAATCGTCACGATTTTCGTCGATGAAAAAAAAGGTTCTCTTTGAATGAAAATATTTCTTCGCTTATATTAACAAATATGTTACTCAGTCTTACTTGTGTTCGGTATAAACGTGTAGATCACGAGTGACAGGGGGTGTGCATTTATTTAAAAGTTCAAGCTCGTGAAAAACAAAGAAATTTGAGGAGAAACAACCTCCTCGTTCAAAGAGACATAAGTACTTGTATGTCTGTCAACAACACTACAGCTTATGCAATCATCAACATAATTTAGACATCCCGACAGCTGAATATTTGTTCTTCTCACAATGGAAGGCCGGTTTCCTTGTTTCTACGTATACAAAATCTTGTCAAAATTGGATGAAAAGGTCTATTCAATCTTTTATCTAAATGCGAAAGTCAGTTTCCCCTTCTCAATTAAGTTTTTTTGAGAAAGCTTTTTGGTGTAAAAAAATATCTCCATTTTAGCAGACTGAGATTTTCGTAGCGAAGTTCGCTGAGGAATCATTCGATATATGCATGCACATAGAGAAAGTATATATATATATATATATATATATATATATATATATATATATTATATATATTATATATAATATATATATATATATCTTTACGTATCTTTTTTGGAGACGTACGTCATCCCAGTGTACGGTGACAACACTCGCCAAAGTGGGCGAAATCTAGTTGTAGAGGCAATGCATTGCCCGAGAGGTTAATTTGAAAGTGAAGAGAGCAGAATAGCGAAAACAATGGTTCCATGCAAGATGGCGCCGTCCGAACTTGAAACGGCGTACTTTGCCAAAAAGGTCAAAACAAAATGGAACCATATTTCTTCCAAGGACACGCAATAATATTTAAAGGAACGTTAATGCTTCGTCATTCCATAATCCAGAGACACAAACTGAACTAACATTTTCGCTTAATCGGCTTTTCGACTTTATTCAGTTGG